CGCCGCCACCTGCATGCGCCGACCTGGCCACGCCCCGGCGGCCGGGCAGGACCGGGACATCTGGTCCGGGCGAGGGGGAGCCCTCCGCCGCCTGCCGCGTCCTCCCAGGGAGATGGGGAACCTGTTTCCCTGGCTTCCGAGAGGAAGATGGGAGCCTCTCCCCGCTCTCAGGAACCCCAGCGTCAGAGCCTCCGGCCTGCAGGCGCCCCAGCGTCCACTCGGGAAAGGATCACCCACTCCCCCGTCCACGCCCCGCGTACATTCAAATTCCAGAGTCCCGGCCCCCAGTCCCTCTTTTTGGAAATTTTAGGGTCCGACGCCTAACTGCGACTCTCTAGACGGGCATGCCACGGAAGCAACGTTTTCCGAGAACGTGAACGGAGAGCACCGGAGTGAAGGACGGTTCCTGTTCCCTGCCTCACGCGGAGGCCGCTGCAGTTGGCGCCAGGGACAAAGGCCTCTCCTCTCCTGCTGACCCAAAGACCTTCCTTTGTCGAAAGCCTCTCCGCAGGCCCACCCACCCAGGGTCGAGCACTCCGACCGCCATTCAAGATAAACGGATGTCAAACACTCAGGAATCTGGGCCGGCCTGTGGCTCACTCGGGAGAGTGCGGTGCTGATAACACCAAGGCCATGGGTTCGGATCCCATATAGGGATGGCCGGTTCGCTCACTGGCTGAGCGTGGTGCTGACAACACCAAGTCAAGGGTTAAGATCCCCTTACCGGTCATCTTTAAAAAAAAAAAAAAAAAACACTCAGGAATCTGACTTCATTCGCCAGAGCTCTGACCATCAGTTCTCCAGACTCAGGCCTCCAAGGGCCCAGCCCCTCCTCCCGAAGACCCAGAAATCCAGTCCTTCAGTCCCCTTCTCCCTCAGACCCAAGAATTCAGATCCCAGCCCCCTCCTTCTCAGACCCAGCCAGGCCTCCAGCCCCCTCCTCCTCAGACCCAGGTGTCCAGGCCTCCAGCCCCCTCCTTCTCAGACCCAGGAGTCCAGGCCCTGAGCCCCTCCCTCAGACTTAGATGTCTGGTCTCTCCAGGCTTATGGATTCCAGGAAATTACCCACCCTCTCTTCCCTCTGGGTCTAAATTCCCCCTCCAGAGCCTGGCTCAGCTATCAATTCTAATCAGATACTCACCCATTCCTCTCCCCAGGCTATTTTGTGAGCACCAGTTGAGGCCTGTGATAGCTGCTCTGGTGAAAGAAACACCAGGATTGCATCAGAGAGGAAGAGGAGGCTGGGGCGTTCAGGATCTGAGCATCTGAGCAGGGGTTGGTAAGGTTGGCCCACAACCCGGTGAGAGGCTTCCAGGTGAGGACACTTGTGTTTCTGCTGAGGACACTTCTTTCATGTGACATCTGCTGTTTCCTGATGATCAAAGAACCTCAGTGTCAGACCCCCCAGAAACCCAGAAATTCAGGTGGGACTCAGAAATTCCACTTATGCAACACAATCTGCATCAGTCAACGAGGGCAGTAGTTTTTCAGGATCCCAGTCCCCTCCTCCCTCAGACCCAGAAGTCGAGGCCCCCAGCTCCCTCCTCCTTCAGACACAGGAGTTTGAGACCCCAGATCCTTCTTCCTGAGACCTAGGTATCTTGGCCCCCAGCTCTTTTCACCAGGGTCCCAGTTAATCAGGTCCTCATTGCACCTATCCCCCAGACCCAGGAGTCCAGGCCTCCAGCTCGAAGGACCCTCAGATTGCATCATCCATCTGTTCAGGCTGCTCTGGCCACGGTGGAATTCTAGCTCCTGCCAAGTGGGTCAAATATCATGAGTCAGGCACAGAGAGGATGATTGGGCGGGTCTGTCTGGGTATAAATTCTGAAGCTTCTGCATCTGTCCCAAGAGACTTGGGTGTCCTGTCAGCTAGGGATCTACAAGAAAGAAGACCCAGGTACTGGGGCCATCTGAGCAACAATCTGTGAATCTGCTTTCCTGAGCAACCGGGACCTGGAACTGAATCTAGACCACTGAGCCCTCAAACCTCACACCTCAGACCTTGCCTGCAGACTGAACCATTGATGGGCTGGGATGAGGCTGGGTTCGAGACCCTGGGATTGTGGGTCCCTGTGCTGGCTGTCCTTCTGCTGGGAGTCTGCCAGGCACATCCCATCCCTGACTCCAGCCCCCTCCTCCAATTCGGGGGCCAAGTCCGGCAGCGGCATCTCTACACAGACGACGCCCAGGAGACAGAAGCCCACCTGGAGATCAGGGCGGATGGCACAGTGACAGGGGCTGCCCACCGGAGCCCCGAAAGTAAGCATGGGGGCAGGGCCTCCTGGGATTCTGGGCCTGGGACAGAGGGGTCTGGGGAGAGGTCCTCTGAGTGCTTTACCACTTTCTCTCGCTAGGTCTCTTGGAGCTGAAAGCCTTGAAGCCAGGAGTTATTCAAATCCTGGGAGTCATGACATCCAGATTTCTGTGCCAGAGGCCAGATGGGACACTGTATGGATCGGTGGGTTTCCCAGACCCCTCCACGTGTGTCACCCTTTCTCCTTTCATCTTCTCAGTCTGGGCTACCATGTCTTACACAGGCCAGTCTTGGTTCTATGCTCTCCTCAAGCTCAGACCTTGCTGCGACCCCTGGAGGTTATCAATGTTTGCAAAACAAAGAAACCGAGACCAAGGCAGGGAGGGATACCACTAACCTCAAGTCACTAGATGCGTGAATGGCAGAGTGACTGAGTCTTGTGACTCCGTAACCTCTGCTCCTGGCCACATGGGCTTCTGTGTGCCTGGCTCATGCTGGGTGCAGGGACACTCAGGGACCAAGGCTGGGGAAGTGACCAGGACCTTGAGTGGTAGCCAGATCCCCTGCCTGGCCTTAGAGAGCCTTGACTGGTCCCTGGACTAGAATGTTCTTCTGTATGAAGTGGGGATAGAGAGGTGGGCCCTGCAGGACTACCGGGTACAAAGGAATCACCTTCTTTTGCTGTTTAGTTTCTTGAAGGAGGCGCTGGGCACCTGGACTCCTGGGTCTGAGGGAGGAGGGGGTTGGGAGCCTTGACTCCGAGGTCCTGCAGCAGGAGAGCGTAGAGGAATCTCGGGTCTCTGATTCCTGTTCTTTGTCCCCTCAGCTCCATTTTGATCCTGAGGCCTGCAGCTTCCGGGAACTGCTTCTTGAGGACGGATACAACGTTTACCAGTCAGAGGCCCATGGCCTCCCCCTGCGCATGCCCCATCACAACTCCCCATCCCGGGACCTGGCCCCCAGGGGACCAGCCCGCTTCCTGCCGCTGCTGGGCCTGCCCCCAGTACCTCTGGAGCCACCAGGGATCCTGGCCCCAGAGCCCCCCGATGTGGGTTCCTCGGACCCTCTGAGCATGGTGGGGCCTTCACATGGCCAAAGCCCCAGCTATGCTTCCTGAAGCCACAGGCTATTTATTATTGGGTCTCCTCTTTATTTATTGTTATTTATCTTATTTATTTTTTTATTTTTCTTACTTGTGATAATAAAGAACCCGAGAGAGGAGAATCAGAGTGAGCACATGCGAGCGTTTGGGGAGGACGTGGATCTGCTCCTTTGTCTTGTCTTCCAAAGACTCGCTTCCCCCACCCCAGCCCTGCCATTGCCCTAAGGTCCCAGCTCCAACTCAGCCTCAATTTTCTGCTCCACTGAGGTGTTCCCGGGGACTCTGGGACTATCTCTGCTCTTTGAGAGGGCGGGACTTATCATCCATCCCCACCCTACCCACCTCGTGTTAGCATTGTGGAACTATTTCTCAGAACTACCTCAATGACAAGGGACTTATTTCTTAATCAAATGCAGACCCACAGCCTCATGGGAGATGTAGTTGTCTGGGGTCATGTCTGGGACACTGGGAGGTGTCTTGGTCCTTAGAGCTGAGGCAAGGACTCCTGGATCCTGGGGGTGAGTTTGGTGTGAGGATCAGAGGGATGGACATCTGGACACCTGGGTCCCAGGCAAACAGGGAAACAGGAACCTAAACACCTGGTCTGAGGGAGGAGGGACTGGAGGGTGGGAGTCCTGGGTCTCAGGAAGAGGCACTTGAGGGTGGGAATTCTTCCTTCCTGGCGCTTTTGAGCTTTGGAATGTAATGACTATCATAGAATCCAATCCCAGCAAGCGAGTTGCCCGTGTCCTCCCCTCTAATCTAGATTGCCATATTGTGGGCCGGCCCGTGGCTCACTCGGTAGAGTGTGGTGCTGATAACACCAAGGCCGTGGGTTCGGATCCCATATAGGGATGGCCGGTTTGCTCACTGGCTGAGCGTGGTGCTGACAACACCAGGCCAAGGGTTGAGATCCCCTTACCGGTCATCCTTTTAGAAAAAAAAAAAAAAAATAGGTTGCCGTATTGTTCTTTGAGCCACTCCCTGGTTAGGAAGAAAGTGAGGAAAAAGAGTTAGACTGCACTCCCAGAGGTCATGGGCCAGCCTCAGCTGGGTCCCGGGTGTCTGACTGATGACTGCAGCCTCAGGGGACTTACAGTCTCCAGCCCTTCATTTTAATTCCAAGGCTCAAGAGGTTCGAAGGAGAGGACTAGCACAGTCAAAAGGGACATTAAGACTGGCCTGTTAGGTCAAGTGGCTAGAGCACGGTGCTGACAACACCAAGGTCAAGGATTCAGACCCCTGTACCAGCCAGCCAACAACAACAACAACAAAAAGACATAAGTGTGGGTTCCAGAGGGTCATGGGTGGGATTCAATGCCCAGCAGAAATAAAAGTCAGCATCTTGTAGATTTTTTACTCTGATGGAACAAGGCTGACTCAACCAAGACAAAGAAACAATCTTAAATGCCACAAAGCTCCTGGGAAGGTGTGGTTTAGGTCCAGGAGGTGACTCATGTGAGGCGGAAGCTCCTTGTCTGAAAAAAAGGTCACTTACCTCTTTGAAGGAAAGGAAAGTCACCAGTGGGGTGAGGAGCAGGAAGAAGCACTGGGCACCTTCCAACCCACCCCACCATGCTGGGGCTGGAGTCGTGGAGAACACAGACTCGGAGGGAAGGGAAGAGGGACTGGAGGGGGATTGTGTGATAGAGACCTAGAGAAAAGGGGGACAGAGACCCAGACAGAAGGGGACAGAGATCCAGAGAGCAGGGGATGGAGACTCAGAGAGAGCGGGACAGAGAACTAGAGAGCAGAATCAGGCAGGGACCTGAGAAATGTGTGCACATGAGCACACATCACTTATCTGAGGACCTTGAACTCCAATTCTGTCTGCCCCCTTTTCAGTAGAAGCCCTTCCCCCATCTGGGCAGGTTAATGTCCCCTTGTCTGGAGATCCTGTCCTGAGATTGCTGTCTTGCAGGGGACTGCTGGTCCTCCCCAGGGTCTACCCCATCACCTCTCACTGCTTCTAGACCTATATCTGTACTCAACTCCAGGCAAGTTCCTTAGGATGAATCACCAAATGTGACTGGTGAGGGAGTACGATATAGTCCCTGAAGACGAAAAATAGGAGACAAAAAATAGGAGGGGTCTTCAAAAAGTTCATGGAAAGATGTATATTATGTTTAATTCCATTTTTCCATAAGCTCTCATATACCAAAAACAAGAATTCAATAAAATTTCACTGAAATGACAGAGATTTGAGCTTAGATCCTGAAAAGGCCTTATGTTCCTGGTAAAATCGACCAAGAAAGGCTAACACTAAGATATATTCTGGGCTGGCCCGTGGCTCACTCGGGAGAGCGTGGTGCTGATAACACCAAGTCAAGCATTCCCGGCCCCTTACCGGTCATCTTTATAAAAAAAAAAAAAAAAATTCTAATACCAACTTTTTTTTTAACAAATAAGTGACTTGATCTTTCAGCCGAGGTGCCCAAAAGGCAACTCCTTCTCCTCCTCTTCCTCTCCTTTAAAGAGGAGGAGAAGGAGTTGCCTTTTGGGCACCTCGGCTGAAAGATCAAGTCACTTATTTGTTAAATTTTTTTTTTTTTTTTTTTTTTTTTTTTTTTTTTTTATAAAGATGACCGGTAAGGGGATCTGAATGCTTGACTTGGTGTTATCAGCACCACGCTCTCCCGAGTGAGCCACGGGCCAGCCCAGAATATATCTTAGTGTTAGCCTTTCTTGGTCGATTTTACCAGGAACATAAGGCCTTTTCAGGATCTAAGCTCAAATCTCTGTCATTTCAGTGAAATTTTATTGAATTCTTGTTTTTGGTATATGAGAGCTTATGGAAAAATGGAATTAAACATAATATACATCTTTCCATGAACTTTTTGAAGACCCCTCCTATTTTTTGTCTCCTATTTTTCGTCTTCAGGGACTCCTAATGTACACATGAAGGATCTTTGCCTATTTTCCATATTTAACACTTTAAATAGTCATTTAATTTTAAAGGACACAAATAAACAGCCAGATGAAGAGACATATAGGGAGGTCTGGAAGGTTCCAAGCATAGGGGCTTCCGTCCCCATGGAGATGGGGTGTGCCACCTTCCCAGCACCTGGATGCGTTCAACTGTCCTGAAGCTCCTGTAGCCCATCTTCTTAGGTATTTTTGTTTATTTGTTTGTTTTGTTTTAAGTTGACCAATAAGGGGATCTTAACCCATGGCCTTGGTGTTGTCAGCACCACGCTCACCCAGTGAGCGAACCGGCCATCCCTATATGGGATCCGAACCCGTGGCCTTGGTGTTATCAGCACCGCACTCTCCCGAGTGAGCCACGGGCTGGCCCATGATGGCAAACATTTCTGAGGGATGGGGATGATGCATTCCTCTGGCCATGGATCTGGGCTCTGGGGTGCCACGGGCCGGCCCTACTCTTAGGTCTTTTTACGGAGACTTCATTACATGGGTATGATTGAAGCACGGACAACCATGTAGAAATGTGATTAAACAAAAAGGGTATGATCTAATACTAATAGACTGGGTGGGGAAATCCAGCAAGGCCTGTGCACTAGTCAGTTTCTGTTGCTTATAACAAAATACCTGGAACTGAGTGATTTATAAAGAAAATAAAATTTATTGCTTACAGTTTCTGAGGCTGGGAAGTCCAAACTCCATCTGGTGATGGTGACAGTGACCCAGGGGTCTCACATTGCAAGATGGTGGAAGCAGAGAGAGCAGGAAGAGGGAGACAGACTACCCTCTCTCCTCTTTTAAAGCCCTCAGAACCACACCCCTGACCACCATTTTTAATCCATTCACTACTGCAGGGTTGGTCAGTTGTACAATCTAATCACCTCTTCAAGGCTCCACCTTTCAATTATCATCATAGGATTTCCCACCCTCTTAACAGTCACAGTGAGGGCCAAGTTTCCAATAAATAAAACTTGGGGGACACAATTCAAGCTTCAGTGAATTTAGCGGGGACATAATTCAATTCACTACAGCCTGTCTGTGCAGATTATTCTGGGTCTATCTATGAAGACTTCCTTCCTCCTGGGTGTGGGGCAGAACTCTTTCTGGAATGGGGGTCTTATGACCTACAATCAGACAATGCAGATCAGAGATCTTTATAGCCTGCTCTGAGACAGAAATTCCAGGGAAAGATTAGGGTGTATTCTTAGTCTTTATGGCTTTGGGGAAAGGGGTTCTGGTTTCTATGACCTGCCTTGGGGAAGAGAGATTCTAGTTTCTATGTTTCACCTCAGGGAGAAAAAGGAGCAGGTGAAAGGAGGGCAGGAGCAGGTCAGAGAGAGATTCTTTTTTCTGAGGCCTGCTCCTGACGCCTAAGGCGCCATCGCATTATAACAAAAGAACAAGGGCTATAGGAGTTATGGGCCAGGAACCATGGACGAAAACCAATACGTAAGAAGCTGGCCAGTTAGCTCACTTAATTAGAGCGTGGTACTGATAACACCAAAATCAAGGGTTCAGATCCCCTCACCAGCCAGCCACCAAAGAGAAACAAAACCACCCCCCCAAAAAACACCCATGTATATACCATAATAACACAACCATCTTCACCATTTCTAACTGTACAGTTCAGTAGTATTAAGTATATTTACATTGTTGTGCAACCAACCTCCAGAAGTTTTTCATCTTGCAAAACTGAAACTCTGTACCCATTAAACTGCAGCTCCCCGTTTCCTTGTCCTCCCAGCCCCTGGCCAGTTTCGTCAACAGTATTTGTTGAAAAGATTGCGGTGAGCTCTTGTAATGTCTGATGAGATTTTGTGCATGGACAGAAAAATTCACAACTATTTGTTTTTTTCGGTTAATGATCAATTAACTTATAAACGATTAGCTTTTCTGTAAACATTCACTGACTGTTTCCACAGCTAAAAATAGCAAGCTGTGATTTTCACAATTTTAGACTTTCCCAAACATCTGAGCATTGACTGCAAATTTAGTCAATGAACTTTTTACAAGTCTGGTATCTCAGATTCCCTTAAATGCCTTGATTAGAAGAAAAACAGTAATACAATCTCAAGCATGTATTTTGTACATCTGACATACCAGATTCTCACAAACACTTTAAATATCTTCAAGGACAGTCTGAAAAGTCCACAAAAAATGATTGCATTGTGTAATGTTGAATATACTAATT